CTTGCGACGAAGCCGACGGCCCCTCCTCTTGAGGAAGAGGAAGAGAGGGAGTCGGATTCAGAGGATGATGATGACATGTTGGTGGATGTCAGAAGTCCCAGCTATGTGGCAGCAGTGAGGAAGGGCAAGGCAAAGAATGAAGACAAGGGAAAGAATAAGGATAGGAGATCACGAAATTTTGATCTCCTCAGCTAGGATGAAGGCCAAACTCCTACAATCAACCAGAACAAAATTGAAAATCGTTGGTGCATAGGGGACATCAGACCCCATGTACGACTTGAGATTTATTGGAATAATTCGGTACAACGAGTGATGGCGTTGGTTGACACAGGAGCGGAGGCCTCACTGATACACGGAAACCCTGACAAAATGAAGGGTGAAAAAGTTCCACTGAGGGGACTTGGGGGACAGATAGTTAATGGGAAAGCAGCAACACTCCCATTAAAAATTATGCCAATTCGCAAATTTGAAGTTGTGGTCACCCCTATCCCTGAATGGATAATTGGAATGGACATTCTGGCTGGAATGACGTTGTATTTGGAAAAAGGTAAATTCCAATTCGGAACAGGGATTGATGTGAGAACAATTTTGGTAGGGAAGGTAAAAATGACACCGTTTCCCATACCTGAAGCGACAGAAACTGTTTGCCAAAAACAATACAGGATACCTGGGGGACAGGAAGAGATTGCTGCCACAATAAAAGAATATCTTGAAGCAGGGGTGTTGAAACCGATCACCACAAAGTGGAACAACCCCTTGTGGCCGGTGAAATTGGAATAATATGCAAATTGTTCGCGGACCAACCCTTGATTTTGGAAAAAGGAAGCAAATTGGCTCAATTGGTAATTAAACCTTGTAATATGACTTCGGTACAGGAAATCCCAAAACCTGTATTACAAACTATGAGGGGGGATGGAGGATTCGGCTCGACGGACAAAGCGGGAGCGAAAGTATGGGTTAAACAACCCTTCGGGCCACCAAAGGCTGCCGAAATTATTGCACAAGGATCAGATGCAACAGAAAGCGTGTTGTATCAAGGACAAGAAAAAGGGGTAAATGTACCCATCAGTAAATGCTATTTGCGAGAAGACTAATCATGTTTTCTTTTGTCAATAGCGTTAACTGTATCTGTTGCAGCTTGGTGTGTACATGCTGAAGTGCGAGCTGCTGATTGGACGACCCTCGACGGAAGGACGCAGAGATGGAGGACATCCGGCGCCGAGGAATTGGAAATGTCGCCTTCTGGGTCCTCCTTGTCCTCGATATAGAGCGACAGGGTGACTACCCTGTGAACATAACACTCAGAATATACGGACTGTGACGAAACTAGATGTACTGGGTATTGGACCCAATACAATGTGACAACAACGAAGGTGGTTTGTAAATATCAAGTTTTACCTGTCATTACGACAAGTGGTTATTGGTTTTTGCACGTGGACGGAGAGTGGTTTGAACCAAAAACCAACAGCACCAGTAAATCAGACCTATGTGACATGACTGATCAAGGGATGGCCTGTCGTTTACAACAAGCATATTCGAACCCGTGTTTAACCGACTCAGAGGTCGTACTTTGTGACTGGACTAGAGAGCCAGCCAGGGAGATGTTATGGCAGGTTGGCCCTCACACTCTCTGTGTGGCTACAATGCAAAATAATTCACAAGTACCTTCGGTTCCTTTCACTGGCTGCCTACATGGA